CTGCAACCAGATGCAAAAAAAGGTGTTAATGAGGTCTTGCAACAATAATAATAATAATATCATTTGTTCCGTGCAACAAGAATATTATAATTATAATGTAATCTGTTTAATCTGTACAACAACGAACGAGAGAGAGAGAGAGAGAGAGAGAGAGAGAGAGAGAGAGAGTTTTCCTACTCTCATCACCCCCTTCCTCCCCCCCATAAACCCCCTCCTAACCCCACCTCCCCCACCATAATCCCCACCTCCCCCTCTTTAAAAATCACAGTAACTTTCTCAAACCCACTTTACCACTAATGGCCTACAGACTCAGGTGAAGGACAGGTAAGTTGATTGATGCTTTTATTCTAGATTCATTAACGTTACAAATCTACAAAAGAATTACAGGTACAGTATACTACATAAGGATACAGTAGAAGTTCCTTATAATGACCACAAAATATACAGCTGTAGATGTAAACACTCGTATGGTAATTTCTACATAAGAGTAACAGCCTCTACACGTGACACATAACAAAACTACATATGACAGTAACAAGAACGTGACGTGTCTATGGTCTAAACAAACGGTAAATAGTGAATAAATCAATGACCCCTGACCCCTATTACAAGATGAACAAATCAATGACCACTGACCCCTATTACAAGATGAACAAATCAATGACCCTTGACCCATATTACAAGATGAACAAATCAATGACCACTGACCCCTATTACAAGATGAACAAATCAATGACCCCTGACCCCTATTACAAGATGAACAAATCAATGACCCCTGACCCCTATTACAAGATGAACAAATCAATGACCCCTGACCCCTATTACAAGATGCATGACGAATTGGCACAGATAGAAATGTTCTGACAAAGATGGAATGCTGTAGACCCACGTACATTTTCGATTTGGTAAAGTTTCCAATTAGGAATGTGTAGGAGACTGTCTGTCTGTCTGTCTGTCTGTCTGTTTATACAATGAAGACAAGTATATATCACAGTATACACGTATTATACCTGTACCAACCACAGTGAGTCAATTACAGTCACCTATAGCCATGTATCTGTCTACCCCCACCCCCCCCATTATCACCACTACCCACCATTATCATCATAACTAAAATCACCATCACAAAACAAACAATCACCAACACTTATCATCACTACCAATATTACCACAACTATCACCACCCACACCACCAACTACCACCCACACCACCAACTACCAACCACACTACCAACTACCAGCCACACCACCAGCCACACTACCACCCACACCACCAGCCACACTACCACCCACACCACCAGCCACACTACCCACACCACCAACTACCACCCACACCACCAACTACCAACCACACTACCAACTACCAGCCACACCACCAGCCACACTACCACCCACACCACCAGCCACACTACCACCCACACCACCAGCCACACTACCACCCACACCAACCAGCCACACTACCAACCCACACCACCAACCACTCACCTACCCAAAATACCTTCCCTAAACATACCTTCCCACAGCTCACCTAGCGATCACACACGGCCATACCTGTCCCTTGATTCACCACATAAATTCCAGCCCCCAATTTTAGCCCTGCCAGGTATAAGGTGTGCGCGTGCAGAATGCTTTACAGTGGTGCCAGAAACCTCACTATATGCTAGAGATCTACTTGTTTTAATTAGTTTTTCATTCTTGAACTGTAATTTACCTGCAGTTTACCTGGATGTTTTGTAATAATAATATTGATAAGGGTAATGAAACTAATTACTATTATTATTATTATTATTATTATTATTATTGGTAACAGACCTAAATAGTGTCTGTATTTATCCTGTATTTTTGGGGATAATAATAATAATAATAATAATAATAATAATAATAATAATAACCATCATTACGGTACCATGAGCGTTATTTAACAGTATGGTACAGGAAATAATTGTCATCTTGAACCGTAAATTAATTGGACGAGGAGACAGCAGGGAGGAATGACCTTACTGACATACCTGTCTGTCTATCTGTCTGTCTATCGCAAGAACACACACACACACACACACACACACACACACACACACAGTCGCACGCACACGCACACACAAACACACACAGAAGCAGAAAATCAATGGGTAAACAGTTGAGTGTGTTAGGTGTGGCAGCCCTCGATATGACTGTAACCTCGACTTGTTTACCCTTGTTTGTGGTCATTTGTTTGAGTTATTTGTTTGCCTAAGTCATGATTGTTTACAGACCTTGTTTGTTTGTTTGATAATTCGGTTTGTTTGCCTTAGGATTGTTTGTGGTCTGTTTGGTGATCTTGTCTCTCTGTTATATCTGTGTGTGTGTGTGTGTGTGACTGGGTGTGTCAGAGCCCCCAACACCGTGGCAGTAAAGGTCACTGTACATTATCCAACAGCTCAGCGTCGACCACCAGAGATCCTCCTCCCGTCTCTCTCACCTCTCCTCCTCCCGTCTCTATCACCTCTCCTCCTCCCGTCTCTCCCACCTCTCCTCCATACTAGCCAGGTGATTTCGAATAGACCTTTATCTCTGCTCCCTCCCCCTTATCTCCCTACCTACCCTCCCCCTACCTCCCCTCCTACCTCCCCCCTTTTCTCTATCTCAAAATATAAGGGGGGGGGGGCCACACTTGAGCGGCATTGATGACGTGTGATTGGTCGAAGAGGTCAGTGGGAACGGACCAATGGGGGGACGATCATCTAGTGTAGTCCTTGGTGAAGAAACATGGGGAAGAAAGTTCGTCTCACACACACACACACACACACACACAAGAAGCCCTGGAGGAGGTGGAGACGAGGAAGAACAACAGGAGGAGGAAGACGAGGACGAGGTGTCATCAGAGGTGAATCGAGGTGCTCATCAGGAGGAGGGAAACACCTGACCTAAAGACTAATCTGCTGTGAGGTGAGGCGAGGTGAGGGGGGTGAGGTGGGGTGAGGGAGGAATGGGGGAGGGAGGAATGGGGAGGGAGGAGGGAGGAATGGGGGGAGGGAGAATATATGGGAAAAGGAAAAAATCCCCCAAGCTCTTAAAGACGCCTCCATCGTCAATATTTATAAGAACAAGGGAGACCGGTCAGACTGTAGCAACTAACTCGGGATCTCGCTGCTGTCAGTAGCTGGCAAGATTATCGCCCGAGTCCTCCTAAACAGACTTCTTCCTGAGGCGGAAAACTTCCTCCCAGAATCACAATGTGGCTTTAGACCATCACGTGGCACCACTGACATGATCTTTGTTGCTCGCCAGATACAGGAAAAGTGCAGAGAACAGCGTTGTGACCTGTACATGGCTTTCATCGACCTAATCAAGGCCTTCGACTCGGTCAACAGGGAAGCCCTCTGGCGGACCCTCAGCCGTTTTGGTTGACCACATAAAATTCATCGCCAATGTGAGGCAACTCCACGATGGCATGAACAGCAGTGTCCTGCACAATGGCACCCAGTCTGAGTTCTTCCCCATCCAAACGGGGGTTAAACAAGGCTGTGTACTGGCACCAACTCTTTTTTCCATTTTCTTGGCTGCCTTCCTTACTCGTGCCAGTGCCAATTTAGCCAGCAGAGTGGACATCGAGTACCGGGTGAAGGGTCTTTTCAACATAAGACGACTCCAGGCAAAAACAAAGGTGTCGGCAGCTTCCATTACTGAACTTCAATATGCAGACGACCCACTCTTGTTGCTCACACTGAACGTGATCTACACAAGATTCTGAACACCTATGCAGATGCATATGCACACTTCGGCCTTGAGGTGAATGTACGTAAGACTCAGATTCTCTTTCAGCCTGTCCCTGGTTCAGCCACACCTCCACCATCCATCCAGCTTAACGGTACTACCCTCTCTAATGTTACCCACTTTCAGTATCGTGGCTCCCACCCATCCACCACCGCCGCAGACATCGATGAAGAGATTCAACATCGGATCAGATGTGCATCTCAAGCCTTTGGCAGACTCCCGTACCTGTGCTTTCAGCTGTACGGAGCTGAAATTATCTACAAAGTTGCACGTATATCGAGCAGTGGTCCTCCCCACCCTGCTATATGGCAGTGAGACACAGGTCACATACAGGAGGCACCGCAAGGCACTTGAAAACTTTCACCAACATAGTCTACGTTACATCCTCCGTGTTCGCTGGGAAGACAAGAGAACAAATGCCAGTAATCATGCTGACACCAACAGTAGGAGCATCGAGGCTACCATTATCCATGAACAACTACGCTGGACTGGCCATGTTACCCGCATGGACAACAGTAGACTGCCAAAGTAGTTACTTTACAGTCATCTAACGAATAGTAAACAATAACGCTGGCGGGCAACTGAAGAGGTATAAGGATAGTCTTAAGACAAACCTGAAGAAGGTGCCAAATCGACCCCCTCACCTGGGAGACGATTACTCCACATCGTAAAGCTTGGAGAATCACCACACGAGGTGTCAATACTTTCGAGTTAGCCCGACTGCAAACCAAGGCAGACAAGCGCCAACGCCGGAAAGACGCTGCCGCCGCTCCTCCCGCACTTGATGTCGCCCTCCACATGTGCAACTTATGTGAACGACTCTGCCGGTCCTGTATCGGCCTCTTTAGTCACCCCACAACTCACCAATGAAGGTAGTAGTAGTAGTAGTAGTGTGTGTGTGTGTGTTAAGTCAATTATACGAACTATTTACAATTAAAAATATTAACTTAGCACAATTAAGAAAACAAAACTCAAGGCAAGATTCAAGAGGTTAATTAGTATCACCTGTTAGGATGTTAAGGTAGAGTGGACTGTATAATTCTGAGGTTAAGTTACGTTAGGTTAGGTTAGGCTAGGCGAGGTTAGGTTAGGCTAGAGGTTAGGTTAGGTTAGGTTAGTTATTGCACTTCATTGTGAGCTGCTTCAGTTAGGGGCAGTCATAGAGCTGACCTGTTCTTGATTAGCTGATACACACACACACACACACACACACACACACACACACACACACAGGTCTAGTGACTCGA